ATAAAGAAACCAAGGTCCACAAAGAGGAAGTCAGTTGTCCAAGGTTGTCAATCTAGTTGGTTGCAAAGCTAAGATCACAACCAGGTCTCCAGATAAATCCAAACATTATGCACCTTTAGTAACCCCTCAAGGGTTATTTATGTCTCAGTTTAGTTTCTTTGGCCACAGCATTCCTTGGAAGGTCTGGAGCTCAAGCATGAGAGTATAACTGCTCTGGGAGGTTGTATGACCCTAGGTGAAAATTTCTCCTCCAATGAGTTTTGGAAATAAAGCAGTGTAAGGTAACAGATCTCTCTTACACACAGCAGGGTACTGAATAGGCCTTCATGGGACTCCAGAGTGGAGTAGATTTTTGTCTGGAAGAACTGTTAGCCATGGCTTTGAGCCAAACTGAACACAAAAACCAAAATGGCTTGCAATAGTTTACTGCACCCATTTTATTGTTTTGTAGTTAAAACATACACCAATTAAGTAAAAGCTTAAACATACACAAATTTGTTTCAGACCTGGTCCAAGTTCACTGATCTGATCCCCCAACCTGTGCATTTGAGATCCCTGCCTCTGCTTCATTTCCTCAGGGCTGTGGTCTGAAACGTCTCCAGACTGGTATGCTCAACCCCAGAATTCTCTTGAGCATTCCAATAGAAATCCATAGCATTGATCTCTAAAAGGAGAGCCATTTCTAAAACAGTAGGGCTAGGTAGGTTTTCACTGAAGGAGTACACAATTGCCATCAACAACAGTGCCATTGTATGACTTGCATTTGGGTTAATGCTTATAATTTTAGTAAGTGTTTCACCAGTGCTATGTGATTAGGAAAATTAAATGCTGTGCCACCTTGAATACAAAATTCTGTGAAGAGACAGGAGACCTCTACAGAGATTCTGGAACTTCTGAGGGTAGAGGGAAAGAGCAGAAGGCAGGGGCAGAGAAAGAAAACTTATCAACCCACCCTTCCATCCAAAAGATTAGTTTAGTACAGGTCCACAGTCCCTTATTTTTAATTCTTACATCAAAAATCTCTGTAAAAAAAGAGGCTTTTTTTTTCTCTCTCTCTCTCATTAATTTGGTGCTGAAACCCACTTGGCGGCAAAACCTGACCTGAGCTGATATGAATTTAGTTTTTATCCCTTTTAGCATGAATATTCATGCATTTTTTTTCACACAGAAATACTAATGATATAATTATTAAATAGGAGTCCTTAGGTGATGCAAACAGTTAATATGTTCCCCTGCTAACTGAAAGGTTGAGAGTCCACCCAGTGAACCTCAGAAGAAAGGCCTGGTGAGCTATTTCTGAAAAAATCAGACATGAAACTCTATGGAGCACAGTTTTGCTCTCCCACCCGTGGTGTCACCATGAGTCAGAATTGACTAGATGACAACTGTTCATGGACAAATGGGAGTATAGATGCTCCTGAGGGTCATGTAATAAACAGTACCTAATAAGCAGTACCTACTCTATGTTGGGGGAGCTCTGGTGGCATAGTGCCTAAAGCACTGGACTGCTAACCAGAAGGCTGACAGTTCAAACCCACCAGCCGCTCCTCCGAAGGAAGATTGGGCAATCTACTTCCATAGTGATACTGCTTCAGAAACCCGAGGAGGTGTCACTATGTGTCGGATCCGACTCAATGGCAGTGAGTTTGGTTTTATTTAATTAATTTATTTATTTTGGTACTCTACATTGTAAATGAGCTCTGATGGTGCAGTGGTTAAAGCATTTGACTGCTAACCAAAAAGTTGGTGGTCCAAAGCCACCAGCCTCTCCATGGGAGAAAGATGAGGCAGTGTGCTTCTATAAAGATTTTCAGCCTTGGAGACCCTATGGGCAGTTCTACTCTGTCCTATAGGGTCACTATAGGAGTTGGAATCCACTTGATGGCAATGAGTACTCCATGTTGCCTTCCTAAAATCCAAATATTATTTAAATTCTTAATTTTAAAACTGAGTCAGGTCACGGATTGTGGACCTAGAATAATGGTAGCTAACATTTATGGGAAGGAGCCCTGGTAGTGCTCAGCTGCTATCCGAAAAACTGGAAGTTCAAACCCAGTGGCTCCATGGGAGAAGGTTGTGACGGGCTGCTTCTGTCAAGATTTACAGCCTTGGAAAGCCTATAGGGCAGTTCTGTAGCATAGCTGTGAGTCAGAATCGACTCAAAGTCAAGGTGTTTGTTTGTTTGTTTGTTTTAAACATTTATGGATGCTTGTGTAGTGTCTAAGGCATTTGACTGCTAAGCAGAAGGCTGGTGGTTCAAACCCACCAGCCACTCCTTGGAAGGAAGATTGGGTAATCTACTTCCATAGAGATACTGCCTCAGAAACCCAAGGAAGGTTCGCTATGAGTCAGATCTGACTCAACGGTGGTGAGTTTTTTTTTTTTTTTTTTTGCTGTCTGCATGGGCTATGCTAAGCTCTTTTCATCTTGTTTAATCCTTATAACACTGTGAGGTAGCTATTATAATCAACTTCATTTTAAAGTTGGATACTGATGCTCAGAGAAGTTAAATAACTTGCCGAGGATTAGGACTGAAGGCAGTTTGACTCTAGGATCTACATGCTTAATCCTTGCACTCTACTGCTTGGAAGAGATGAGCTGGTGTGAAGGACTGTGCAGGCCCTTTGTGGGCATTATAGGTAAATAGAATAGGCTACCACTATTCCATGTGATTTTTTTAAAAAAAAATTATCCTAACTTTGCCCCCATTAGCTTTATATGGCATATGGACATTTTTATAGCACATAGAAATACATATGTAGGAATACCATCTACCAAACCCATGTATGTTTGTGGGTATATTATTCCCATTGACCTATCCATACCTGATCTTCTTGCCTGTTTACCTATTCTATGTGATTTGAGAGGCAGCCCACTACCTCTAGGTATACTCTCTCCTCATCTCTACTTCTCGATGATACTCATATGGCTTCATTCCTTGAGATTCATATGGACAGCTTTTCCTTTCACATGGATTACCTGTACCAGAAATTATCTGGGGTCCTTGTCAAAGTACAGTTTTCTGAGCTTCACCCCTAGATGAATCAGAATTTCTAGAGAATGGAATCTAGGTGATTCTTGTGCACACTTAAGACAATGCCCCAATAAGGGCAATCCTTAACTCTTATTAACTACCATCCTAGCTACCAGTTGGCAACTAGCTGCATTGGCAGGGATGAACTCATGAATATGCATCTGTGGAGCAGAAGATGTCTAGAAGGTAGATCAGGAGACTGGAAAGGAGAGCTATGGAAAAGAAGGAAGGAAGGCCGGTATGACAGTATCTACCTAATTTAGTAATATGAAGTGACTACATTCTCACCATTGGTATTCAGCTGCACTGGAGAAATTTTGGAAGCAACTCTCTCTCTCTTTTTTTTTAGCTTCACAGATTACCTATTTCATCCTACAATAAAGGAAAATGAGAGGCAATCTACTTCCATAGTGATGCTGCCTTGGAAACCCAAGTCGGATCCGACTCCAGGGCACATAACAACAACAACAACCAATTCTCTAATGTAGATAAGATAGTCAAACCCTTTGGAAAAATGAATAAATGGAGAGTTAGCTAAGTTATTCAAGTTAATACAACTGATTAATGCTCCCTGATTAATGCTAGTGTTTGAAAAAGATCTTTTAGCTCCCCAACTTAATACTTTTCTATCTTATGATAGTTTCTTCCATATGTCTAGAAAGGATAAGCCATTAGATAAAATCTATGGAATCAAATCTTACACTTTAAAACATTCAATGATACATATTTTGTTTTGCCCACCAGTGGCCAATTTAAATAAATTTAAATAGCATGCTACACTAGGAAAGGGCAATGAGAGGAATTGTACTCCAGAATAATTCAACTGATATGCCATATGTTTGGGGTTTGTTTTTAACTTTTACTGGTTGCTTTTCTCTTGTTATCAGTGTAGGGAGGTCTGCTGAACATTTTGATCTTTATACTTTAAAGAATATTCTGTTCTTGTTTGCTAGGTTCTCAACCTCACCTCTTTATCCTGCCTGTGATGGCTTAATCATATCCATGGTAACCAAATGTGACCTCAGACAGGGATTAGGAAGCCCGAAAAAAAAAAAAAAAAGGATTAACTACAGCAATCAGATCTCTATAGTGATGCAGGCTAGGCTTGGGGCACTGAGGGTCAAGCTCAACCAGTGATTGTTCCAATTCACGTTAGTGTTTTCTGGAGTTTGCTTCTCAAACTTCAACGCACACATTAATCACCTGGGCAATCTTGTTAAAGTGCAGATTCTGATTCAGTAAGTCTGCTGAGGGGCCTGAGATTCTATATTTCTAACAACCTCCTTGGTGGTGCCAATGTTGGTGGTCCCCTGAGTAAATTTTGTGTAGCAAAGGGCATGGACAACCATTATGCCCAAAGAGCATATGCAAATTATCACATTTATGGTCCTAGAGAATGTGCTGTTCTGGACAGCCCTGATGAGCATGCCATCTCTGATATTAACTAGCTGTGTGACCTTGGACAAGTATCTTTACCTTTGTAGGTCTCTGCTTTCTCATCTGTGATATTAGAAGTTTGGTCTGGATGATCTCTAAGATCACTTTGGACTGTTAAACCATTTGATTATCTGGTGATAAAAACCTACTTTACAACCAAAGTCTTAGAGGGAAAATTTCTCTTTTATTATAAGGAAGGGGAGGAAAGAGGAATCTACTGTCATTCTTATATTTATCACCCTAATTCCAAATTCTTTGTGTGTTCTAAGGTTGTGTTTTTTTTTTTTTTTCTTGAATGTGCAGAACATCAACATTATCCATGAAGAAGAGGCAACATTGAGTGGTGGACAACTGTTGACCTTGCCAACTCAGCTTTTAGCATCTCCTGGGGACTTCTGAATATCTAACAGCTTTGGCTACGTGTTCATGACACTGCATCTGTGATTACAGAACAAAACTACTGACTACCTGTTGGTCCCTAGTATTCATAGTCACTTCTACCCAGTCTCACCTGCTTCCAGGAGATATAATGGAGAAGCACACAGACTCACCACCAACCTTGCAAGGAGAGCCTTCCTCCCTTTGGGCAGAGAATCTGATTCTAGAACCACAAGAGCAGCACCTGACTGAGGATAATATTTCTCTGAAGGATCAAGTCATGCCTACCCCGGCCACCTCAATGATGCCTGTACCTTGCTCACCTGAGCATCTCGGCCAGTTTGACGCTGACCCTGCCAGTATCTCAGGGTTTCTTGCTCAGGCAACTACTGACTTGACAGCTCTCAAGACCCTCAATCCTGTAGATAATGCCCAGGTCAAGTTCTTTTTTGACTATATATCTCAGCAGGTAGAAAGATGTGGGGTCCTAGCTGGGTCTGACCAGAGTACTCTGCTGAAACAATATGAGAATTTTGTTTTTGAGTTCCAGCAGTCATTTGGTAAGCCCACAAAACAGGAAATGAACTCTCTTGCGAATGCTAAAGTTGACAAAGGAGACGACTCCTTTCCAAAGTGTGCTACCTTACAGCTCCTTGCTCAAAAGATGAACTGTAATGAAATCATTCTGAGTGACCAGCTCCAAGAGGGACTGGCTGACCCCATGCAGAAGGAAGTGAGTGGTACAGACATGATAGAAAACCTCCCAGACCTCATCACTCAGTGTATTCAGTTGGACAGGAAACATAGTAACAGGCCAGAGCTCCTACAGTCAGAGGCCCAGCTTCCAAGGCTGCCTTCTCTGATCCACCATCAATACCAATCCAGACCCACAGGTCCACCAACCAAGGAAGAGCCGATACAGCTGCGGGGAGGCCAGCTGCCTCTCACACCTGCCAAGCGAGCCCGCCAGCAAGAAACCCAGTTGTGCCTCTACTGCAGCCAGCCTGGCCATGTCACAAAAGATTGCCTTGCCAAACGTTCTCGAGCCCCAGCAAGGACAAATGACCCAACTCACCAGTAAGAGGAGCCCAGGAAGATTATTTTTCAAAATTATATCCCTTTCACCTCCAGCCTTACTGATTTACATTCTGCACTAACTTTTGAAATACAAGTGGGGAACTGTGATACCACTTTACATGGAGTCATGAACTAATGTGCTTCTGAGAACTTAAACAGCTAGAACTTGTTCATTGGAAACTGACTCCTAAAACCAAAACTAAGCCTACAAAATGATGACAACAATTCAAAGGCATGCTCTGCAGTTGGGACTGATCCCCCAAAAGTACTGAAAGCTTGCAGGCTAAACTCTGCGTAGTCTGAGCTAATGAAAACAAGCCTGACAGTGCACTAGGAATCCCATCTCCATCAATGGATGAAATCTGGGTAGAGTTTGTCAGGCCAAGTCTTCTATCTTCTGTGGCTAGAATTGGACACAAGCCTTTCACCTAACCTTCCTTGGTCAATATTCAGCTCCTTTCCCCTAAGGGCTGAATCCTGTTCCTTGTAACCAGGGCTTCAGACAGGTTCATTTCCCTTTCTGAGAATTTCCATGTCCACCCCATGTATACTGAATCTGAATCTACATTTTTAACAAGATCTCCATGTGAGAACATGTTACATCAGAATCAACTGGGGATCTTGTTAAAATTCAGATTTAGTATATCTGGCATGAAAATGCAAATTCTCAGCAAGGAGTTGAATGGAATGAACCAGTTTGAAGCCCTGCTTGTAATCTTATATTGATGGAGATTGATCTTCAACCCAAACCAAATTTCCTGGAACCACAGCTCTGCCATCTTTCCCCACAGCTACGTATTTGGCTACTATGTAAAAGCTCCTGGTTGTTCAACAAATTGAACTATCAATTCAATCTGGCTAACAAAAAAACAGATTGGACATGAATTTACTATAGCCATTTGAACACTCTGCTTGGAACTCTTAGGCCCCTTCCTTAAAAGCTATACCTTTATGGCCATTTGAATACCCAGCTTGGAACTGTTGGTCCCCTTCCTTAAAAGCTATACTTTTAGGCAGGTACATTCTTTTAGCCAAGCCCTGCTGATTCCAGCTTACTCCCCTCTCCCTCAACAAACCTCCTTGCGCTTCTGATATGTCTCATAGCTAAGTCAAGATGGGCTAAGATAGTAGCCTCTGACAAGTATTCAGTGAGAGAAGTAGATGAAGTTTCCTATCATAATTACTATTTCTACAGTATTTCCTTGCTGCCCAGTATAAGGAACCTGGCCCTAGAGGTCTTAATGTGCTCACCATCTAGGATCACTATCCATTGCTGTTGATCTCTAGTCTTATGGACCACATTTGGGGATCCTTATTTAGCTGAGGCTCTTGAAAAATAATGAATAACAAGACAATTCATTGGCCATCTCATGCACAAAATGCAAGAGGTAGGAGTTTGATTGCTAGTGTGCTCTCCTCACACAAAACTTCTGTGTATGGATTGCTGATGCTTTTGATCAAATGTAGTGCTATTCTAGAAAGGACTAGCTCCCTAAAATGTTAAGGACATCAAGTGATAATGTTTGCTGTTTTTACCAGCCCTTGTTCTCCACTTCCTGGTGTTGCTTTATGCCCCTATCATAGATATTCTGAAGAACGATCAGTCATTCCATAGTCCCCAGCAACCTTCAAGGTCTCTCAGAATATGAAATGCCATTCTACTTTGTCCTTGTTCCTGGAAAATTATACTAACTTTGGTAATACTTAAACCTAGCTAGAACCTTATTTTCCTTATCTGGTAGCACAAACAGATCTTTTCATCCATCAGTGCCTCACTGACCACTGTGCCCACCTTTATTGGCATTTACAAGGGGTGTCCTTTATCAACAATTTGCTGCCCATCCACCTTACTCCATATGCTCCCATAACAAGGGGACCTGCATGTGCATATTACAATTATGGCAAGGAATCCCAACTAGGGTACTTAGATTGTATGAAATCCTCCAGCAGGTAGAGCTATTTAAGTGACTCTGAGATTATCTGGAGGTAACCTAACCTGTCACCACCAATTCTATACAAAATGGCTAACCTAATGGCCTTCAGTCATGTTCCTTACCACTCCATTATAGTCATGGAATGGTAATGGGAACAATCAGATGGCTTGATATCCAATCATTTCTTATTGTAGGGCCACAATTTATTGTTGTGGTCTCTCTCACTAAGATGCATCACCTTATTTCCTGTTTATATCTATCTCTGTTTCAATGTTACCTTCTTCAAGAGAGCCTCAGACTTCATAGTCTCCTAGAAGAGGTAATCCAAAACTATGAACATCAATTTGCCTCCTGCTTCTGGAGGCCTATTGTTGAGGTATTCTCATCATGAACCTCCTGTGTGCTATGTAATTAATACAATCCAACACCCAAACAAAGCATATGAATAAATGACGGAACAATGTTTTAATTAAAACTAAAGCTTTGGGGACCTCCATTTCCTGACGTGGTAAAACTCAAACTGAGGAGAAACAACTGCAAACATGCATTAATAATTGGAACATGGAATGTACAAAGTATGAATCTAGGAAAATTGGAAGTTGTCAAAAATGAAATGGAATGCATAAAGATCAATATCCTA